TTTGTGTTTGATTCTTCTTGGATTCTTCATTCTTGGCTTTTTTTATGTTTGTTTTTTTAGGTACATAATTTGTGTAAGGTGGACACTTTAAGCACAGATTTATAAAACTGTGGCATTTTAAAATCATATTTCTGCAACTGGATTTTCATTTTAATGAAGTTATTCTGTTTATAGGAACGAGTGAAGTCTGTATTTCATGCCAAAGAGTTTGGAAAAATAATTAACTTCAAGACCCCAGAAGATGCTAGGGTAAAAGCCAACTTCTATTTTTACATTGATTACATTTTGAGTTTCATTGCAAGTTCTTGAAATAAGCAAATGTTGGTTTATTTCCCCACAACAGTGGATCCTCACGAAACTAGAAGAAGCAAGAGAACCTTCCCCGAGATTCTGATGGAGAATACTGCCTGAAGAGAGACAACAATAAATCATTAGAGTTTCTACCTTGTACCTTTCAAAACCAGTCTGGGAAGTACAGTACAGAAGTAATTTCAAGTAAATTAAAAAAAAAAAAAAAATCAGTTACAATCAGGTAAAACAATCAGGTGATTAAAATATTTCAACTCATTGGAGATCCATTTGGTCTTCTAACTTGAATCATGCATATGGTTAAAATTCTAATTACTTTACAAAAGAAACATTTATTTGATGAACCTTAAATACTTGCTGCAAGTAATTCTCTGCAGTGTAGAGAAATTGCCCATATTTCACCCCACATGGAGGTAAATTTAATGTTTCTAGTTCACATTTTAAACTTCTGTCATGAAGTTTATAACTTCTATCTTCAGACTCCCTGAATCAGTGATGGGGAAATGATCAAATCAAACATTGCCTCGGTATCAAAAACTTTAGTGGTGGTTTCTTTAGAAACATGAAGTTCTTTTTACAGATAAATATTTTGGTATTATTTTCCTTATTTTTTTATAAAGGATAGGTTTGAATTATACTTCCATAGCATGACTATGAAAAACATTTTTTAATATACTATAATACAGATTGAGTAATACCCCTTCAAGCTTGAAGCCTTAGAAATACTTTCTCAAGCCAACTTCATGGGATCTACTCGGTTTACCCAAGTCACGTTTTTAACATTGCTGACTTTACAGGAAAATCCCTGAAGCCTTAAAATAACAACTCTCCATTCATTGGAAATATGAAATAAAATTCCCACCATCTTAGATGTGAGTTATGCTTCAGAACAGACAGCCCTTCTTGTAAGTAAATATATGTACCCTAAAGTGTTAATTACCTGTTCTGTCAGCAAAAGATTGGGAATTTCTGCTGTGCTTTCTGTACAGTTATTCAAATGAGAATCACTCTTTTAAAAGCTCATCAGAAAAAAAATCATGGACTGCACATTAATAAAAATAAGGTCATGGGGGGGTTTCTTGGTTTTTGTCCAAGGTCTTGTAAATTAATCTAATATGAATGTACTTTTTCAAGTGAAAGGGGTTGGATACATGACTGCGAACCATGAAGAGAACAATGCAGTGTCTTATTTCGTTACTGAATAATACAGAGTATTTGATGCATGTCGTATGTGCCATGAAATTATTATAAACTGTTTCTGGGATTGGAGACTCTGGATAGTAATAATTGTGAAATTCTCCTCAGGGTCCTCAAACCCTTGCTTTGTTGTAAAAGCTAAAATAAACAGCATGCCAGACTGTAATTGTATTTCTTCCTGACCCTATCCTGCTACTACTTTGATTTTCCTCTGATTATAAAAACACATTGTTTATTATCAGTAGTCTCCCAGTATGTTTTTTTTTCTTTGCTGAATATAAATTGAATCAAAAGATGACAGATTTCATATCCCATGGTAGCGTGTGCTCGCTCCCTTGATGACTTTTGTTCAAAGTAACATACACATTGTCTCTGTTGCCAAGCTCCTCCACTTTTACGTTAGAATTAAGCCTAAGAGTAGTGGCCAGAAAACTTTGATCAGATTGTCCTCATCCGAAATATTGCTTTAATGGAGTTCCATTCAGGACCACTAACAAAGTACCTCATTACCTACCACTGTTGCAGAATTTTTTATCACAGTACCAGGGATTCGTTGTTTTGCCGCTTCGAAGAATCAAGGAGGTGGACACAAAATGAGCAGCAGGCAAAGTTTATTGTAATATGAGATCAGAAAGGAAGAATAGTATGAAACCTCTCTCTACAGTGAGGCGACATTCGAAAGTAAATGCCTGCAGACTATAGTCAAGGGTCCTTGTTTCATAAGGTTCTGGTCAGCATCCCCTTCCCTTTCCCCTTGTCCCTTCTCAGATTCTACCCTTACTGACTAGACAACTCTAGGTGCTGGGTTGTCCATTCCTGATTGGCTCGACTCCATTGTGTGAGGAGTCAGAATGGTCATACTGTCCCATGTATAACATAAGTTTTATGGTTTAGCTAGGTATTTTGAATGTCAAATTCCTGAGGGGGAATCTGAGGGGGAGTAGGTGTGTCTGTTACATTTTTAAGAGGGACCTTACACCTGAGGGGGTTTGCTGTAGTCAAAACACTCCCAGCGTTTTTCCAAAATAATGTGTTTTTCCCCATCCAGGGAGCTCGGGTCCTAACCTTTCTCTCTCTGCCTATTTTATCCTACCTTTCCCTGTTATACTACAGTTTCATGATTTCATTCTCAAAACATACAGGCGCAAAACTTTTGGGTGTCCCACGGTGAAAGAGTAAACATATTTTTCTAGGATCCTCTGGAGGGCAGCAGGGAATGGGTCTTGTACCTAGTACACATTGCAATGCCAGCCTGCCTGTTTCTGTTCCCTTACCAATGAGGACCTACAAATATCTTTTCTTATTCTTCAGTAGTCGTCTGCCCATCAGCACCTCCTATCACTGCCTTTGTTTCTGGAGTAGAAAGACCCCCAATTACAAGAGCAGTGGTTTATCACTTGTCTTAGAAGATTGTCTTCATCTAAATAACAGCAGATCACTACATAACGAGTCAGTCTTTTTAGCATAACATTTTACAGTTATGTGTTTGATTCTATATTATTTTTTCTTGAATATTAGAGAGTCCAGAATCTTAACTGTATTTGAAAATCATCTTCCCTGAATTATATTTAACACTGAATGACTCTGTTTGAAAACTTGAAGCTTCTTAGTTGTTTGGTGGCTACTACCCAATGAGATCCTGAGGATTATGTCTCTGTGTTGTTAGCTGTAGCCCCAGCCCCTTAATTCTAGCACAGTATATTTTCTGCTCTGTGATAGTTGTGTAAAGCCCAAGGCAGAGTGTCTATTCCCTGCTAACTCTCCGCTGAAAAAACTATGATTAGAAATAGCAACTTTGATTTCTGGTACAAGAAGCAGCTTGTGATTTCTTCACGTTTACAAAATACTGTCTGAACCCAAGAGCATGTGCACTTCTCCAGTGGCTTCCCTGTTACTGTGTATGTATCGGCTGCTTCTTCCCTGGTGTTAGGAAGACCTTAGGATTTTCTCCAGGTTCAGTTTCATACAGCCCAGGTTATTTTCTGGTCCCTAAATAATCATCATCTGCTGTAGGCCGTCCGGGCCTGGAAAATCCTCCTCCATAATCCTAACCCATGACAAAACTGTCCTATGGCCTCCAAATAAATAAGAATTTCTTCTTCTGTTATCATTTCTATCATAATCATCTTTCTCATTTTTTCTGATGATAGTTAACAGTAATATTTTCCCAGTGAATATATATGCATCTAGCTTCTGCCTTAGAAATATGCTAGTATTTTATTCCTACCTAGTAAAAAATAAAGACCCTACTCAGTGCTCAATTTTCTGCACCTTGGTTATTCAGTCATCAATTGCCAGTGTTAAGTGATCTTTCAGGCCAAGCCAAGACGCCTGTATTAAAAAGATGGGGACAAGATACTAGGCTAGTTTGCCGGTAGGAGTAGGAAATGTGAGCCGAATACACGGACGATAGAAGTAGCCATTTGGAACTGGATGTTTTCATGTTCCTGCCAACACAACTCATAGAAATTTGGGTTCCAAGGCCATTGCTTTTTACCTTTTCTCAAGATCAATTAAAATCTTCAAGAACAGTGTTTTTTCAGTCTCTAGGTCTTTGTTTCTTTAATTTTTTTAAAATGTTTATATTTGAAAGGGACACGGAGTGCGAACAGGGGAGGGTCAGAGAGAGAGGGAGACACAGAATGTGAAGCAAGCTCTGGGCTCTGAGCTGTCAGTACAGACCCCAGTGTGGGACTCAAACTCAAAAGTGGTGAGATCAGACCTGAGCCAAAGTCTGACGTTTTACCGACTGAGCCACCCAGGCGCTGCTCCTCAAGCTGTAGGTCTTAATCGATTAGAGGGCCATAAAATCAATTTGACTCCTCAAGACTAGCATATTTTAAAGTGGAATAGAAATGAAAGTAACCCCTTTAAGGGGCGTCTGGGTGGCGCAGTCGGTTTAGCGTCCGACTTCAGCCAGGTCACGATCTGGCGGTCCGTGAGTTCGAGCCCTGCGTCGGGCTCTGGGCTGATGGCTCAGAGCCTGGAGCCTGTTTGCGATTCTGTGTCTCCCTCTCGCTCTCTGCCCCTCCCCCGTTCATGCTCTGTCTCTCTCTGTCCCAAAAATAAATAAAAAACGTTGAAAAAAAATTAAAAAAAAAGTAAGAGAACATTGCACATAACAAAGTTAAATTTCATTTCCTGAAATGTTGCCTACTTTATGTATACTGTGTGTACTGGGTCGCGATATAAAATGTTATTTCCTATTGTGAATTGCAGTTAAAAAGCAAACAAACCTTGAGAGCCACTGCTGTGGGAGGCATGGATTATCTACTAATAGTTGGAACAATCTGGATTGGGTGGAGCCTGACCTTAGAGAAGGAACAGCAGATCCACAACTCAGGAAATCTTCAGATTGTGATCACTATATTTTGTTTTGAGTGAGACGATAGGCTGGCTCTTGTTTTGGTTTTTGTAAGATGTTTTCCTTTCCTGGTGTGTATCAGATTCCCTCAGGTATCAGAAAAAGCAGAGAAAAGTTACATTTGCAAGCAGCACCCCAAAAAATGCCACAGGCTGTCATTTAGAGATAAGTCAACCTCTTTCCCCCTAGGACTGGGGACAAAAATTCTCCAATTTTATGAACTTGCTCTATCTGCCTTTGGTGTGATTCATTGTACACGTGGTAGAGGCCCTTAAAAGCAGGAAGCTTAGGGGCGCCTGGGTAGCTGCGCATCTGACTTCAGCTCAGGTCATGATCTCGCAGTTCGTGAGTTCGAGCCCCACGTCGGGCTCTGTGCTGACAGCTTGGAGCCTGGAGCCTGCTTTGGATGCTGTGTCTTCCTCTTTGCCCCTTTCCCGCTCATGCTGTGTCTCTCTCTGTCTCTCAAAGATGAATAAACGTTAAAAAAAATTAAAAAGGAAGCTCATATATAGGTCACACTTTCTCATGCTCTGGAGGGTACTGTACAAATGCTAATGCAGTGTACCCGACTGAAATAATTAGATTTCCTCATTTCTATAGAATTCAAGGAGAAAATGTAGATAACCTGCATTCCTTATGCGTGGCTCAGGACAAAATTTCTTCAATCTGATTTTCTTTGGTGCTACTACCCAGTATCATCTGTAGCTCCTATACATACCCCAAAAGCAGGCCCTTCACCCTCCTACCCAATCCTTTGAAATACGCTTTTGAAATTACACCTTACTGCTAATGCTGACCATTCAAGTTAGCCTTAAGGCTGAATCAAGTTAGCCTAAATCAAGTTAAAACCTTGATGGTTCTTTTACCCGATAGTTTTGGTCATTGGCCAATACAGCTATTAATGCAGACTTTTGCTCATGCTTCTTTTCTTTCTGCCATAATTGGTGTCCCGTAGTACTTGATTCAGGATTATCCCACAAGCAGGCCTGCACATGGACTGTGAAGATGCTGGATCCTAACCTTGTGCAAGCCTCCTTCGTGTTTCTTTAATTGAAACGTTTTTCTTTTTACTTCCTTTTTTTACCTTTTTAAAAATTTCCTCTTTTGTAGAATAACTTGTTCCATGGCATTAGAAAAAAAAAAAGTTTTACTTTAGAATTATACATTCTTTTTTTAAAGCATTCTAGCATTTTCAAAACAAGTTGATACTTGTGGTACCCAAAGAGCTACATAAGACATATAACTTCACATTTTGTAGGTTGATATGAGTGTATACTTAAAGGTTTTATTCATACAATACAAATTAATATGTATTATAATTTAATATCCACTATGATAGATATCTGTCCATCTGAAAACCCTGTCACTGAACACCATCAAGTATTTCTCTGATACCTTTACCTCCTAGTAGAGTCCTGTAACAAGAAATCCTGTGAAAGTTATATAATAAAAAATCTAATAATCAGAAGTGTACTTAAAGCAGAACCTGTGTTCCATCCTTACTTGTCAGTGTTCAATTGGGTACCCAAAAGTTCTCAACTGAGGGGCTAAAAACCACTCAGAAATGTAGATTACATTGATAAGTTCCCAGTGTCAATAGTTTTATACACAATCACAAACTTAGAAATTGTATCTGGGGCTTTTTTCAAGGTCAAGTAGATCGTTACAGACTTTTAAAAAAATGATCATCTCTGCGATTATGCATATTACATATGAGAATGAAATTTTCAGGGAATGTGCACTTTAAAAATACTTTTTTACTAATTTTTGTATTGACCAAATAGTCTGTGCTTCTTTGGAATAGGCTTATCATTCTTTGATAAAAACATGGTTATTGATGATGATAATTTTTTATCTATTTCTGCATCACCGCAATA